ATATAAAAATATAGATACAACACGTATATGTGAATAGATATAAAAATTATAGAAGCAGATTATTAAATGTATATATAGATATGAACCAGCGTAAAAGGGAGAGAATGTAAAGTATACGAAAAAAAAGCGAAAAAAAGAAAAGAAAGAAAAAAAGAGAGAGAAAGTAACCAATGAAGTAACCATAAGTCCGTTACATATGCATCGACACCCAATTAAAAAGAAATATTTCCATTACGAACCAATATTTGTGGTGTAGGAGGCACACGGAGAGCCACGTGTGTGGATGGACCCCCAGCGCAAGTCCGTGTTCGTGAAGGTAGCGGGTAGGTACACACAGAACAATGACGAACCAGAGCCAAACGTATAGCCGAGCGAGCGGGACCGGGAACAAACAAGAACAAAGATACGACTGCTATTAATATCACTTGGACAAGATTAGTTACGATACGCTGCTAAGTATTCTTGTATGATTAGGGCTAGAGAGACGGAGGACTAGGGTAGAGGGTGGAAAAGGGATTAGAAGAGGAGATCTTCGCTGACAGTCAATTATAAGTCGATTATCGATTCGGGGAAGAAAGATGGGTGAAAGGAGAGCAGATCAGTTTGGAGTAGGAGAGGATTAAATCGATCTAGAGAACAAGATCGGCAGTGGTATCAAAAAGAATTACTGAATAACCATCGATACTTTTTACAGACCAACCCTGTTGAAGTGTCCCTATACGAGCCACGTGACTGCTCGAGAGTATCTTGTTTCTACTGCTGCATGTAGTTTTGCAGCTTATATTTAAAAATGTGGCTCGGAGCTCTGGTTTGTCATTGGTCATGCATAATAAACGCGACGATCATGGATCACGCGTCGAAAATTATATATGCACTTTTTTGCGAATTTTCTCGAGGTTTGTGTTTTTTTTAAATAACGTACATTCCTTTGTATTTTCACTCGTGTCTCATTTTTACTTTCTCTCTCTCTTTCTTTCTCTCTCTCTCTCTCTCACGTATTACATTTATATAATTTAGTTGACGAAATATCAAAAAGAGAGATTTCGTTCTTTGCGATAACGAAAAGTTCTGATAGCTAAAATCCAAAATGGAACATATTATCCTGTTTGCTGTCATCGAGAAATGAGATAATTAAATGTGAAAGTGAAGATATGAATAACTTGACTTTCATTGTCAATGTAATCCAGCGTTCGTCTTTTGCTTTGTATCTGATAAATCGTGATCGAGTGTCGGGCTTAAAACTTAAATCAAGAAAAAATTTAGAAATGATTGATGAGGCGGTAAATCATATTTTGATATGTATAATTATTATAATTCGTGAATACTTGTGAAACAAATAAATATTTATAATTTATGACGGGATGTCGAGTGAAACAAAAACGGACGCTCGATGAGAGAAAAGAAAGATTCCAAGCGAGCTTAACAAACAACGAAATATTCCGCACATACCTTTCTCCGAGCTGTAAAAGTAAATGTACCGCTTTCTTCCGGGATATTAACTGACTTTCGATGGAAAAGGAGTAGTTTCTCTGATGTCAACAGTAGTGGTATATGATGGTAACTTTTAATATATATATATATAAAATATAGTAACGGTCATATAGTAGAGAGTATAATAGTATAAAGGCAATAGTAGCAAGAGCGACAATAGCAGCAGCAACAATAATATGAAGACTTGCTGATAGAGAAAAAATGTTAATGGTGATAACAATTACTACAACACATCAAGTAGGAAAGATAATGATAACATTAATTCGAAGGAAAAATATATATCTTATTTGCATTTATATATAATATATAGATAAGAAAAAAGAATATATATCGAGGAATAAACGTGCCTTCCCCAAAAATGCGATAAATAAGCGAAAGTACATTAATACGCGCATTCACACGCACGCACGTGTTTTCCGTGTCGTCGTCGATAGAAAGTGGGTTAATTTTTCAACGATTATCATTTTTTAGAACTCGCATCTCTTTACTCGCGAATAACTTTGATCATTTTACTCTCATTCTATTATTTTTGCTTCCTTATAAGAAGCTTTGTTCTTTTTTCAATGATATTTATTAAACATCAAGTGTCTAATTATTTTAAATTAATAAAAATACATTTTAAAATTGCTATTAATCTAAAAATACAGACACACACTGTAATGTGTAAATCTGATAAAGTGCATGCACAAAATAAAAAGCATTAGAGTTTAAGACAATTTGAGAAATTATTAAATCGTAAATACTTATGAGCTGTACGTTAAATCACATTACTTGTACTTTATGGCTGCTTCTTCTGGTTGCGTTTTAAGTTCTCGATATTAATTTATTTGCTTCTTTTATTATGTAGAAGTTTAAAAATTTTTATTCTGACAAAGAAGAGTGTTTTCTCTCCAATTTTAACGGGTATATCTCATAAAGCAGCTCAAAATAAGAAATTCGTAAAACATATTTTTTTTTCATTTTAAGCTGCTTTACAGTTTATCAAAAACAGAAGAATGTTTTCATAATTCTTCCATATAAAATAAAACTAATAATCGATAAATAAAACTTGTGCAATAACGAATGCCAAATTATTTCTGTAAAAATCAATAAAATTTTTGCAGTGTATCCATTTATCATTTCTAATTCAATGAGTTATAAAAATTTAAATCAAAATTAAAATTAAATAGAAATATGGGAATATTAATCTTTTGTTCAAATATTACGGGACTTGTCGATGCTGCAAATAAAGCGCGCCATAAATTGAATTAATAACGCATGTATGCACAATGTCACCATATAAATATTTAAATCTCTGAAAATTCGATCTCATTATTAAATTATGGCAAAAAATCTTGTATCTCGAGGACATGGATATAAACATTGCGTATTATAGGAAAGAAGGAAAACTGGGGAAAGAAGGGAAAAAAATAGTGCATTATTCCATGTTCTAATTTTTCTAAAGGAATATGGAGTTACGAATAAATTAGATACATTAAATAATATTTTATTATCCCGTTTTGTACCGCACCTTTTTCTTGTACCGCCACGTAGGGCGATAAATGGAAACAAAAGTTGTCTGCAATTATCGCGCGTGTATATTTGTGTGTGTGTGTGTGTGTATGTGTGTGCTCTCGTCACATAAATAATATATAAAAATAACAACAAATGTCGCGGCCCTTGCGCTAATCGAAAGTCGAAGGAGTTATACCTATCACATAAGTAATCGCTCAGGACTGTAGATATACGCGAATCTTTTCTTCATCTTCGATCTTTCGCAACACTATTTACAAAAGATGCAAATATAATATACCTTATGGGACATTTTTATTTTATTTTATTTTATTTTTTTTTTCATAAAAAATATCAATGCAACTTTGCGATATCGCTCGTCGACTCGAAACGACACTCTGAATTTCGCGACGTATGCGTTTTTTTTTTTCCATTTCAAGACGTCGATATATGTATATATTCGGCTCGCATTTCGTCAACAATCGTCACAAACGCAATGACATCGAAAAATGGCTGCGAGACAATAACAATCGAAAGGATATGAAATTATCGGCATCGAAACCCCGTAATTAAATCCGCTTCAAATCGGCACGACTTACCGATTTCAGAGATTCAATTTCATTCACGCGATATATCTTTATACGCTTATATAAACAAATCGTGACGTTACATTTAAAAATCACGTTACATCGCCGATAGAATCGTACGACCGGTGCTGCGCTCCTTCTCTCGCCGTCTCGTTAAATACTTGAGATATATCTCGAGAATATAACGACAGCGGAACGGAATTATTTGATCCGAGCTACTATATTTTTCGAATCCGTCGATAACCTATATCCACTGTACAGTGAGAAACTGATACTTCAATCGCCAGCGATCGCAGAATTCGGTATCGCACCGGATCTTGATCCGTAAGATAAGTCTGTGCGGCTGTGCGGACACACGATAATACACTCTCGACACCAAGAAATTCACGTCAGAGGGAGAGAGAGAGAAAACGCGGGGGACAGAGGCGGAGTAATCTCATCCCATTCGCGGATGCTGCTGAGCCTGGTGTTGCTGTTGCTGCTGCACAGAGTAATTTCTGTCGATGTGCTCTCCTCTCTGATCTCTCTGCCATTCGCGGGCCTGCGCTACTTCCTTTCTCTGCTGCTCGCTTTTGTTGTGCTGCCGGTGGTAGATGCTCTTGTGGTTGCGCAGACTGTTTAGACTGGAGTAAACCCGCTTGCAGATGTTACAGATCGGTTCCTTGCTGGGCCTGGTGTGCACGTTCTGTATGTGCCGCTTCAACCGCGTTAGGGAGGTCAGGTTTTTGTTGCACGGCTCGCATCGAAACTCATCGCTCGCGCCGCTGCCGGCCAACAGACCTGGCGGCAGAACCAGACACACAGGGGTTACTACTTTTGTGGGCTTTTGGCGCTCGAAACGTCGGGGGCACAGGACAGGTGGACAAGTAGACATTAGACGAGGGGCGGGCTGGGGGGGAGGAGAGGGCTTGAGATAGACAGAGAGAAAGAGAGTGAGAGGACGTGCTCATCCCCGTGCTTCTCTACACTTGGTCAATCTTTCTTTTTTTTTCGCTCTTTAGCCGCGATCTCGTCGATCTCGTCGATCTCGCGATCGCACATACACACCACCATTTCACACTCCTACACCAGGTGTCGATAAAGCTGACACCACCACAGTTTTCTCGCAGCTGAGAAAATATCGTGCGCCCGTGTGTGTTCTTTCTCTTTTTTTTCTTTTTGCCTCTACTTGCCGCTTAGTACTTTTTTACTTTGCGCCTTATTAATCGAGCATACGTCGTACCACCGTCACCCGACAAGCCGTGCCCAAATTTATGTTTACGTATGTGTGTGTGTGTGTGTTATTTCTTAAAACCACCTAAGAGTTATATGCAGGTGCCGATGCTGCTTGCGCCTCATTGCATGATGTAATAATAACGATAATTATTACGAGGGAAATGCCTTCTAACGCACGACAGACGTATAACCATTGTCACCGTACCTTTCGTTTTCTTTTTTTTTTTTTTTTTTTTTTTCGTTTTTTCGACCGTGAGATTTCACCGGATACAAATTCGTTGGCATAGTCATCATCGTGATTGTTAATTCTTTTCGTCGTAATCACTATCGCCAAAGTCCGTGTCATTGTCAACCTCGTCGTCAATGTCGGCTGTCAACGTCATTATCTTAATTTTTATTCTCTCTTTTTCTATTCTCGTTTTACTTTGTCGTTATCGTAATTGCTAATCATCGCGTTGCAGTTTTTTTTCTCATTTTCATTCCGATCGTTGTTTCGTTTTATTCCGTCCCATCTTCGAACAAGCCATCTCAATCTTGCCATTCAATTATGCATACTTCGATGTCCAATACTGTCAGGATCGATATCTGCTCAATCTTCAATCTCATTATTATCAGCGTTGCAATAACGTTTCATCCCGCAATTAGTTCAATTATCATTTATAATGCTATATAATAAACCGTTCGTATAACCATTATTATTATAGCGAATATCGTCACCGTCCTTGTCTTTATGTCAATATTCTTCAGCATTGCCATTATCACGTCATTCGCGTTCCGATTATCGTCGGTTTTTTTTTCGATTGTTGCATTCACGCTACGGACAATTGTTTCAATTTTTTATTTCTCGCGAACGATTTAATTAGACTCGTATGGAAAATTTCGCGCGATATATTTTTTTAAAAATACGCTATGCAAAATACGTCTCTTTAGAAATTATACTAATATTTTTCTCTGGACTTCGTTATAAAGTAATATACTAATAAGCGAGAAATAATAATTCCCGTTCGTTTATGTAGAAGCGACATGAAAAATGTCAAAACTTCAATTACATAAAAAGTGCTGATTCACGACATAAGAAGTTGCTGATAATTTCATATACAATCAATATTGCGTAATTTCAACGACAATGTCAGAGAATAGAATGTTGTAGAATGTTGGCAGTATTATGTAAGATCTCTTTTTATACGCGCTGCTTCTGCGTTATCTACTAGTATTTTAATTTTATTCGATTATATATTCTATAAGAAATGAATTATTAAACACACTTATATTTAATATAATGCAATACGAAGCGTGATATCGATCAAATACGATGACAATGGTAATAATTACGATGCTCCATTTCGGAAGACTTACAGCATTCCTCTCTCTCTCTCTTCCTTTCTCTCCCTCTCTCTCTCTCTCTCTGAAAATACGTCATGTGACGCTTACTTCTTTCGGACGCAATTAGGATAACACAAGTGCAAGCAGTTCCAAGGTTTCACAGCGAACAATCGTGAGCGATGAAGTTAGTGTTTCATGACTACCAGATATATCCATGTCGATATGCATATTATTTACAGCAAAATAGAGCGTAGTATCTTATATAGTATATATATATATTTATATATATATTATGTACAACATATGTACGCGCATGTGAATATGCGCGAGAGTGTGGAGATATGTGCGAACTGTGTACACAAATGCGATATCTGTTTCTAATGAGGTGATGCGATGAAGCGTAATGTTCTCTCTATATTCCATGATTGATGGTATTTTCGCGTAGCCTTGAGGGCGGAAAGAGAGTCCCGCTAACAGAAGTTCTTTCTTCTCGCGCGATATTTAGGCCGTGAGATAGCGCGCGCTCGCTCATTAGAAACAATATATTTCACTCTTTTTTTAATATCCCTCTTAATATTTATTTCCCTTATTTCTCGCCAGTAACTCGACGACTTGTATATGACCGCGTTTTTTTTTTTTTTTTTATATATACGTTGCGTTATAACAGGAGGTGTGATGCACGCGATCTATCGAGGTTGTTTTTTTTCCTTCCCTTAAATACGCAATTACAATCTCACGAGTACACAGGAACAATGGCATTTGTCTAGATCGAAACGAGTGCTACTATATACATACACGCTCGTATAACGCGAGTCTTCGCGAAATATAACGTTACGTAATCTCTTTATAATCTATCGTACTATATAAATTATCAGGGGGGTAACATGTCAAACGACATCTGATTAATAATTAATTGTGGTTTATTAAATAATCAATCACAGGCATTTTTAACAGAGACTTCAACTTCGTATATTCAGTATCAACGAATATTTCTAAATAAAAGTAAAATTGTTAAAACTTTCTCTTTTTTCAATGCAGGATTTACGAGTAATAGAAATCCTGCTGGACATGTACTGACTAGTAAAATAAAAGTGGTATTTCGTATACAAATAAGAGTAGCGCAACATGAGAAACAAAACGAACAGAAATTAAAATTAGAGATTGAACCTAGCATAATTTTGATTCATTTAATTTTTGATATTATATAAACGCAAAATCTCAAAATTATAAAATCGTATCTCGGTATTTTTATTACCATGAATAATCACAGAGATTGTACTTGCGTGGTCAAACTATTAAAATTTCTATGAAATTATAATATGTTAATATTTCCAGTAAAAAAAAAAAAAAAAAAAAAAAAATGTCGACAACTATACTATGACTATGGTGTATTCGCGAAATGACTAATAACTTATAGATGGCGTCGAGGAATTAACACCGATTTCTTTGATCTCAAATGAGGTAATCTATCGCCGGAGGAGAAATGAACGACTAGCAATAAATCTCGCTCCGCAATACTGTTGTGATATAATTACAATACATTGACGGTGTAAAGAGAATAAACTATAACATACTAATTAGCAGAACACATTTATACAACGCGATTGTTGTGTCCGATTGACAAGCGGTAGATTGCAAAATTTTCTCCCCCTTTCCTTCCGAAGGCATGGGGGAGAAAATTTATAACGCACGTTCTGCGTTATACAGGTATAATATAATTTGATAGTTATTTCGTTCGTCTCTTCTCTCTCTCTCTCTCTCTCCTCTCTGATACGATACAGAGAGATCGTCCGAGATCGATAGGGCCATTCAATACGTGACTTCGCATGGAGCCTCGTGCTCTTTCCGATCCTTTCTAGCGTGATACTGGCTCTTGTGACTAACCAGACTGTTTCGGGATTTGTAGCTCCTACCGCACTGATCGCAGGACAGAGACTGCGGCACGTAAAAGTGCGTGTCGGCCAAATGCCTTTGCAGGGACCAGGCGCGCGAGAAGGTCTTTTGGCACAAGTTGCAGTAGGTGCGATTCGAGTATTGACCCTGTTCCTTGTACAGGACGAAGCGCGACGCGTCCTGTTGCTTGGAACCGTTTCGCGATCGCAACCATCGTAAATCCGCGTCGTTCGAGGATCTTCCGGATGTCGACTGCGGTTGCTGCTGCTGCTTCTCACGTTGACAGTCGCGATCTCGATTGTCGCGCGCCGACTCGAGGTCCGCGTGATCCTCGAGCGTGTGATCCGACAGAAGGCAGGCCTCGTCTATTATCGGCGAGACCGGCTCCGATTTCAACACGATCATCTGATCGTTAATGTTGTCTAAGAGATCGATTATCGGCAGTTCTTGCTGCTGTTGCTGATGCTGATTAGACGGTTGCGCCGTCGTCTCGCCGCACCGATCCGCGCTCGTATCGCTTTGGTTCGATCGCTGTATTTGCCGTTGGTACTCGATGTTGATAGCGGACTGCCAACCCCCGTCCTCCTCGGCGACCTCCCGGTCTGCAACCAAAGAGGAGGGGGCTGAGTCCAACCGGATTCACGCGACATCATTTAGAGCACCATAACGAGTAACTTTCGATAAAAAAAAAAAGATGGACATTTATTTCTCTTTCTCTCTTGCATACACATACGCATACTCTTTGTCTCTCTGTTCTACCATATATGTGCGGCTTTTGGAGTTGATTTTCGACCAAAGTGGAACTCGGACCCTTTCGAATTAAAATGGGCTATGTATTTTTAACGCAAATTCCAGACGAGAGCGATGTTATTTTTTGTCATAAACGATAATTGCGAGACAACGAAGAGTCGACAAGTCTGAATCGATTTAAAAAAAAGAGATTCGATCTCTTTAAAAAAGATTCTATTCTCGAAAAATTATTAATAGATGACGTTTATTTGTGTAATGTGTGACACGAAAGATTACGTGACTGTGTAATATCAATCACAATTTTATATCTCTAACGTTTCGTAGGACGGAACATTTTATCAAGATTGCATTAATTAAGACCTACAGTTTCATTCTTGACAACAAAGTCATAGAATTAGAGGATAACGATTGCGAAAAATCAATCCAATGCGAATCGATTTGCGTGCCGGGATATCATTTTCTTTTTTCCCAAATGAAATAGCTCTCGCATAATAATACGGCAACTCTGATTAAATTTTTTCCCCTGCATAAATTACTAGAAAAAAAAGAAAAAAATCTAAAAGAAGAAAGCGTTTAAGCTCGGAGACTGGATTGCGAACGTAACTCGGCTCTTGAAATCTCTCGAGTACCGACGCATCGGCGCAAACTTGACACTACGTGAGTAAAGTAAGGTAACACATCCATCGAACACACGACGGGACGCCAACGATCGTCTCGTCAACAAGAGAGCGCGGCGGTATTCACGAGACGCTTCTTTGCGGGATTTTACCCAGCCGGTTACCCGTGGCAACGCTACCCCACGTCGGGCTTCACCCTCCCCCCCCCCTCTCTCTTTTTCTCTCTCTCTGTGTTTCGTACCCCTCGTAATCCTGCCGCAAGCGCGCGCACCTCCCGGACCCCCGCATTCTCCCCGAAGCGTTCCCCCTCGCGATACAACCGAGAAGAAGATATATACGTAGGATGTGTATTATTCTTAATAACCCCTGTATGCCGTTATGCTGTATTATGACTGATGTTGACTCTAAGCGCGGAGAAAGAGAGAGAGAGCCGGCTCTCTACGATCGATAGGTCGTTCCGCTTCAGGTAAAAAGCGAGTCGGGACGAAAAATTCGACGCGTTTGGGAATTTTAAATTAACTTTGTCGCGCGAATATCGAATATCTCTTCGGCTAGTTTTTTTTTTTTTTTTTTTTATCTAATCTAACTGCGACATTGACGGTTCACCTCGAGCGTAACGCGATCGGATAGTGGTGATCGATGAGTTTAATTCGGATATAATTTCGAACGATCGTCGTTGTTGCGATTTATAATAATCATAATTAAATATAATCGCGTAATCGTCTTCTTCGAATGTAGCTAAAGTGACGGAGATATTAATAATTTTTTGATCTCTTCGTCGTTGCACGCGCAGAGTGCGGTTTAAAAATTTCAAGATGGACCGCTCGCATGAAAAATATCGCGAAACGAGAAATAACCCGTTCTTCGTCACAATATCCGTACCCCCTTATGAACGGGATATATTCCCCGCAATAGGCAAGCATTATGCCGATAGACGAGAAAATCTTTTCTTTTTCTACACTCGTTGAAGAAACGAGGACGTCTGCGGGCGCGTTTATTCTTTCTCCCTCCCAAAAAAACAAACCCGTTTGGAGAGAACATGTTTTACGATGCGCGAGAGACATCTCGCACAAAGCGACTCGGGAGAGAGTTTTCTCATGCAGATTGTGCATCGCTATTCTTAGCGAGAGCACATACTCTTCTAACAGACGCAAACACAACTCGCGATATAAGCCAGTTGCGTTTCTCGCTAATCTACATAGATTATTCGAAACTTGGAGAAACATATATATATATATATATTGGAGCGATTTGAGGTGCACTCGCGATTACGTAAACGTCTCATTAAGTTCCATCGTTTCGGTAATAATGGGCGCAGAGGTCAATCGGGATAGTAGATACCGGAACATTTTTCAACATAACAATATGTGTTTGTAAAATCATCGACGCAAGACGGGGTAATATTCATTTTGATAGATATTATTACAGCTATTTGTTGTAACGCAACAATGTGCGTTGGGCGGTAATTATACTGTGGAATATTGTAGATATTCTCGATCGTTTTTTTATTGTCGATTAAATAGGCTGAGGTGTATAAATTTAAAGATCGCACCGCTTGTATGTATATATATATATTTTCGATACGTATGTAAACCCTCTCAAAAATCTCAGATAAAAAAAACTCGTATCCAAATAGATAATCGCTGATAGCATCAAGGAAAGTCTGAATAAAAATCTATATAGTAGTGTCGTAATCGCGCATTTCTTTATGATCTGCATTACAACCACCGACTAATAGCGTGACACTGCTCTTTCGTATCGCGATTATTATGATCGATAATATCGTTCGTCCTAATCGGGAACGATGATATATTTATTACGAGGAAAAAGGGAAAAGCTTGTTTTGGCAGATTCGTCGCAGAGATCAACGAGCGTCGAACGACATTCGCGAGAGCGAAAGTGGTGCAATCTCGCTCTGGCCTCTGCACCTCCCCCTCCCCTTTCCTTTGTCCCCCCCCTCCCTCTCGTCTCATTTCTCCAACTGTTCGCCTCCCGAATCCCGCTTGTTTCTCTTTCCTCTCGCTCTCTCGTCCGCCCCCGCACTTATTAACGCACACCGATACCATTGCACGGCTTGCGAGGTCATTTCAAGTTCATCATCGATAATAGCGCAGGCGAAAACAAGCAGCTAGACCTGAGCGTCCCCGATAAGTACGTACTACAGATAAAAATTCCGTTCGATTTCGTGCGGAGTGAATACTTTCGTTTGGCCTTGACGGGCTATCCGAGAATACGTACCGTTAATGCGGACAGGGGTTCCCTAATCTAAGCTCGGGCCACATAATCTCCATAAGACTCGCAAAATACACCGCGATAGATGAGGGTAGATATTCTTCCCGAATAATTCAAGTGGAGATTTTCGTGCGCGATTTTTCAAGATTTTTTTTTTTTTTTTTTTTTTAACAACCTCTGCGAGAGCTTTAAGTTGATCTTCGGGCTGTAGAAGAATATTTCCAGCTCCGAGTATCGGGATATGTTGAAGAGAATTATAATACGCAGATGGACAATTTAATTATCCAATTATTCCGCGACATCGTATAATTTGGCGAATGAAAATTGGATTTAACGCGATGTAAAATTCTCCCAAGTAACAATGCTAATTTTAAGTATTAGGTCGACGATATCGAAACAATAATTAATTCTGCATAATCGACGCGTGGGCTTTATAAATCATTGAAATTGCATCGAACGTCTGCAATCAATTTCACCTATATACGTAAAAGATGTCTCGCGTTTCTCGATACATCGAAAAAGATCGTCGGCCGTTTTTTTCCACACGTGACACACGTGTTACGTGTAACGGGATGAATGAACGACGGGGAAATTTATGGACGGTTGCAAAAAAAAAAAAGAGAATCACTGCATCAACACAATCGTAGCTACCGAGGCAGCAACGAACCGATAGAGGATGGCGAGATGCTAAAGGGGGAAGATAGTATAAAGAGGGGCGAGGTACAGAAAGAGAAAGAGAGAGAGAGAGAGAGGTACTTCTGGTATCCGAGACACGAAATCCATGTTCCATTTCGGCACAGAAATTCACAAAATTTCGCATGCTATTTATTCGCGGTGTCAATAGATGGCGACGTGTCCGGATTTGCGTTCCTCTTCGCAGACTTTCGGCTGGTTGCATTACGCAATCGACATTTCTCAGCATCGGCAGCGAGACTTAAAAGCCGAATACGCGATCGAAAGAGAGGAAAAAAATTTGCAGTTCGGATATATTTATATCCGACGTATGTTTCGAATTTCTATGTCCGAGTCGCGAATTTTTGTATAAACATTTAGAATCTGTTGGGCAAAATGAAACGAAACTACATAGATAGAGAAAAACCGTTTCCTTTGAAAATTCAATCTTTGGATCTCTGTCGTTGGAAGCGAAATTTTTCATGCATCTCGTTTGTAGTCGGCACGGATTAATCTTCGATTCTTTCTCTTAATTCTACGATTTCAAGACGTAACCCAAGAAATAAAGCGTAGTGCTCCCTCCGAAGAAACGGTGGTTCACCTTGTGGATCGATACACGCCTATTCATTATACATCGCTTAGAGCTGACGTGCCGAAAAGACAAAGTGCGCGCGGAGTGCCTCCTCAGTTTTTCGTTGACAAGAAACATCGACTGTCTGAAGGAAAAAAATGCGCAAAAAATACTCTCCCCCCTCTTTCTCTATGCGGTGCTAAAAAGCGATAGAACAAATATTTGGTTAGTACCGGTGCATCGAGACTTTGCCACGCCTCCTGATACACAAGCGCAGAAGGAAGATAAACCGCGCTCGAATTCAACCTCGCAATCGATATTTTTATGCCGCGCTAAGCTTCGCGACAGATTACCACCTATCTGTCTCTCTACGAAAGTGTTGCTGCGGAGAGCAGCCGAAAAAAAAGAAGAGAAGGAAAATAATCGGCCGATACGCGCGTCGCTTTAAACGCATCTTCGAGGAATAAAAAAAAATGCAGCAGATTGAGAATACGCAGTCACGAGAGAAAATCAGGCAAACGAATATATACGCAGATTTGATGTGCCCCCTCCCTCTTTCCCCGGACTTTTATAGCTGGCTTTTTAGTCGCGTTCCTTGAACGGCGCTATTTTGGAAGTTAATATATTTTACTTTTTACACTCTCTAAACACATGCGAATTCATGCTTGAACTCGAGGCTCTTGTGCATAAACCACATTGCTTAGCGTCTCAAAATATCGTTTCTCGCGGAGCTGAATTTTTCACGAAAAGTTTATAGCGAGCAAAATTTTTTTCAAGCAAGAAAACATTTTTCCATTATCCCATAATTTTCGTCAGAAAAACTGAACGATAAATCCAAGACGTTTTAAACCGATACAATAATAATTTTTTAAAATGTGAGGATTTAACACACAGTCTTTGCGATCATTATTTCTAACGTCGTACTTTAAGTATACACGGCAAAACAAAACAAAGAGATCTTTAGCGCAACTCGGATTGATTTTGCGATTAATTAATGGAAGGTACTTTTCAACTCACGAGTCCTCCACCCTTTTACGAAAAAGATATTCCCACTATGATTCTTCGAATACGTCGAATATTTTTTTACGGATACTTGATAAAGCTAGAAACAATATTTTCAATTCTGCAATGGATATTGATATTCGATCGAGAGAAAAGGGCGAATTTACCCTAAATTCGCATAATGTTTGACACAACGTCAAAACGACGATTATCACGTGTCACATTTAATACTTATGCGGATAAAACCACGTAACGTAAAATATTATTAAAAAAATGAACGTCCAGAACGTAGAGAGAATTGTAAGATATCTCAAATAAAAACTACAATATTATACGTATGCACATTTCGCGTATACGTCCTCCGGAAGACTCGTTAATATTCCCAGCATCTCCCTGCATAAATGTAATGAATATTTCTAAACCTTCGTAAGAGAGACACTCGACAAGATCGAGAGCCTTTGCTTCCCGCAAGGCTATTCTCTGTCAACGAGCAAACGCATTGCATAAATCGGACCGGCCAATGGCGGAATGGTATGTCGCAAGACATGTTCTTCTCCCCGAAACTAACTAGAAAGAGCGAGAGAGATGGAGAGAAAGAAAGAATTATATCATTCTCTCGGGCGGCGATTGACGACGCGACTCGTCGTCAGTGATGGGTAAGATACATTTGAAATGTATCTCGATAGATACGTGTAAAAAAATATATCTAGATACAGATATCCGAAGACTTTTAAATTATATTTTGTTATAACGATAATATGCACAAAATGTACCGAGTAATTCTTTTATCTTTAGTGATATTTTTGTTTATATCGTCACTCAAGCTATTTCGCCGTGATACTAAAACGGGTGTCGATGACCATATGTTAACTCGCAGTCTTGATCTTTTACAAACTTAAAGAATTGGGCTATTCAAAAAAATATGTGAAAATGTATCTGCAAATATATCTGAATTCTATATCTAGATATAGAAATTTAAATTCGAATATATCTCAGATACACAAAATGTCGTCGTATACCCATAGATATAATTTAATGTATCTAATGATTCGCGGAGAGAATGAGTGGCAGAAACGTGAGTGGCGTACCAAGGTCGTCGTATTTTTAGTTAGGCCAATGTTTAGTTGGCCACGTTTGTTCGGTTCGTTCGGTCGGAGATAGAGGGACCTTGAATTTCGCGGATAACATCTGCAGCCTTATCGACGCGGTCCCCAAATTCTCTCCCCCTTCGTCTCCTCTTTCCCCCCGCAGTTGTGCGTGTATATCGCCGCGAGATAAACTTTCAGTACTAACCTAGTATAAACCAGACGTTCAAATATTAATCGACAATGCGAGGCCGCACCTGAATTTGCACAACCGACTGAATAATTGTGTGCGGCGCATTTGTCAAACTTTTCTCCCCCCAAGGATACTTAGCAAAAAAAAAAAAAAAAATATATATATATATTTATATAATATGCACGAGCGATCCGAAAAATGTGCGTCAGCCTGTCATCGATGATGACGATCGACGTCGACTCGTTCGGTCCGGATATTTTTTTCGACCTCCCTCTCTCTCGTTCGAGACACACGCATTCGAACACCGCCAAAATCCGCTTGTGGAAGGTCACGCACGCTCAAATACGCTATTCTTCGCTCTCGTAATTATTCATCATTATCTTTAGCGCGGGGAGGAGGACTCCATATCGCACCTTGGGCGATATTATCCCGCCAGCATTCGTCTCCGAATGAGTAAATAGCGTTCTCTATCGGTTACAGCCTCGATATATGTACTTTGATGGCTTCTCGTCTATGTATCTCTTAATCGTAGCAGTATTTTAAATCATACTCTCTTTAATTTATATATTCTCTTCACTTTTGGTTTAATAATTGTCGGTGAAAGAATTATCATCATTAAAATGCATATATACATACATATATACGCAGTTTTTTTTTTTTTTTTTTATAGATAATAAATAGAGAAAAATAGTTGACCTATCACATCCTCTTTTACGATTATACATATGCGCGTAGAAAAGATCCGTGAGTCGCGATATAAAATTTCGAGCGTTTTTTTATCGAATCGTGATTGTACTCTGCAGTTTTTTTTTCTTCGTCGTATACCTGCACGTAGCGAGACATCACGACGGCGTGTTATATCGGCGATATCATCGCCGCGAATATTGATTCTATTGCAAAACGTTAACAGGGGGCGGGGGTAAAGGGGGGGGGGTGTTCGGGGAACAACAAGTACACACCGATACGCAACTCTACGTTCAGTCGAGCGATACAAGCACGATCGATTATCGGAGAAATCGGCACATTTAATAAGGTATATTGACGACGTTCAAAGCACATCCGATTGTTGATACTCTCGATTGAGGGGAAAAAAAAAAAATCGGCGAAAACACGCGACAACATAGGCCCCTTTTAAGACCCTTTTGCAACCCTTCTGTGCGTATCGCGCAAACACGCGATGAGTTGCGTTTGGGGGGGGGGGGGGGTGTATGGGGGAAGGTAACGATCTTCACGGCGCGCCGAATATTGCACAGTGATGCCAAACTGATGTAACTCAATTAATTGCGATCGTCGTCGATATATCAAATAAATAACGGGGTGGTTCTCGATGTTTGAGCGAATGTATCTGCTGCGGCCGGCCTGCATCTTTCGTTCTTTTTCTTTTTTTACGCGTGATAGAATCGTCATTGTAAAGGCGCCGCTCTGCCCATGTAACTTCGCTTCGTTTAACGGTTCCGATTATATTTTATACTTTGTAGGATGTATAAAGGTGTCTCGGAAAGAAATTTTGCACAAGTATACGATTCTTTATGCAAGGTGTGATTTTTTTTCAACATCTCATCCAGTTTGAACTAAAAATTGCATTCTATGTAATAATTTTCTCTTTTTAATCAAATGTCTCTTCCTCGATTAAAAAAAGTTTTTGCATTCTATTGTATAAAATATGTACATATTTGTGTTTGACATATTTCAATATCTGAATGTAAATAGATATTTTTTGGAAAATATAACTCGCGTGTATTTAAAAAAATGCGTTGCCGTTGCATAAAGTTACAAAGTCATGAATAAAAATTAACTTAAAGAAATTTTGTCATATAATGATCACAATACGATACAGTACATTATACTTGTGTAACAGTTCTATAGTCCATGTATTTTTAATATATACCGGTGTTCTATTTTTAAATTCTTTTTGAAAAAAAAAAAAAAAAATATATTCGTGAATAACACATTCTCACAATTTTTTCTTTCAAATTTCTTCCGAGACACTATATCCATATGTGTTTTCAAAGTACATCGGAATAATAAAAGATGCGCATCTCAAAATTTTTTTACACCGTGCATAAAATTACATATATGCAATCTTTTTTTTTTTTTACCAAAGTATCTTTAAAATAAAAAAATTTATAGCATACATCGAACGTAACCGAATCAACATGTATATGACGTACGTTGGATGCGTAATAAATGTATAACGCGTAATAAAGCACACTTGCGCGAAACGTGCCGGTATTGTGGATTTATCTCTTATATATGGAACACGTAGATAAATCCCGTATGTAATAATTAATTCGACTGCGCATATTCGAGCATATTTGAGCGTAATGTGGAAGCTTCGCGCGCGCGTTAACGAGCGTGAGTTACAATCGGGCGAGCGTATACACTCGCGTCGAATTTTACGAAATTACGCGCGATATTACGAGCTTACGAGAGAATTACGTTCATGAGCTCGACCGTCTGTTCGAGATCGCGGAGCCAACACGCAGCTCCGCGTAATACATGATTTCTTTTATGATATGCAAAAATGTAGGCGAATCGTAACATGGTGCCGTATAATGATGATATCGATGATTTTTGGAACGCATGCCAATTAGAAGAGACTTAATAATTTTCCAAGCAGATAGTAGTGCTCTTTCACCGCAACCAGTAAAAAAAAAACATTTTCATTCTCGTAAAATTTGTGTGTGATTTGGTTAGTTTGATATAACTGCACAAGTCCTTTTAGTTACTTTTTTTAATTAGAGCGAAACCGCTACATCGCGTATACGATCGAGGCGCGATGTATCGACTGTCAGTAGAAGAATAATAAGGTAGCGCAGAGTGCCCTTCAAAAAATCAAAAGAACGCACATTGACGTTTCTACGGTCGCGTGATAACAAGTGCCACAGATATACAAACGGGAGCGTGATAGATATACACGTATATATATATATACATACGTGTATATCGATCATTTCGACTTTTTTTCTCAAGCAATTCTAATGATTTCAAAAGGGCAGAGAGCTAAAAAAAAGTACAAAAAAGTTTCTTACCTTGCGAAGTACCCGCCAGGTCCGGTGTTTGCAAGCCATGGCCCAATCCTGGAAATTTCACTATCGTCACACGTAGTAACGGCGATGTAATCGCGGGCGGAAACTCAACAACGGCCTGTACGCAATTTCGCAAATAAAAAAGAAAAAAAACCCGCGACGCTAACAATAAGATAAAAAGATAAGCGGAGAAGCGATAGGGAAATCGCGAGTGCCGAGACAAAAATCTTAAAGAAAGTGCGAAATAAAACGAAAAAGAGTGTATATTCGAACCGCGCGAATACGCGGTAATTCTAAATGATACCAAGAACAAGTATATGCTGGGCGAATCTATCGGACCCTTGACCCTCAAGTGCGAGAAACGTATTTTCTCATACCATTAAATAGTATGAATTTATAAATTTCAACATTCGTGCTCGAAATGAAAGGATAACGCGCGGGTCCGATCGGCGCTTCTAAATCTGATGAATCTGTGCGTACAGGCCCGCCTCGGGATCGTCGGGTGGCCGACGTACCTGACAGTGGGGTGTGATCGGTGGTGAGCGCCGCCATGCTAAAGTTGAAGCTGCCGGGGGTCGAGGTGAAGAGCTTGCTCTCGGGCAGAAAGTTCTGCGCCCCTCCGGACGTGTGCTCCGCTTCCGGCTCGTGCTCGTTACTGCTCGCGGACGCGGGCGGTCGGTCCGAGGCCGCGGCTCCGGAATCAGACGAGTCCTCGTTGTTGCCGGCGTTGGCGCCGCCGCCGTTGCCGCCCGTCAGCTCCAACGGCTCGCACTTTATATTGTCCTCGACCAGGCTGTTCTCGTCGTGCACCCCGTTGCCCTCCACCTTGGTCGACAGGTGATTGCTCTTGACCATCGAGAAGTCCGTGGGCGTGGCGTCGTTGTTGTTGAGCGGCGGCGACGGCACCCGCGGTCTCTTGGCCGTCTCATCGTGCGGATCCGGGGTGCGTCTCTCGTTGCGGCGTATCTGGGCGCGACGGAGTAGCTGCTGCACCGTGGTAGGCGTCGGGGTCACGGGGGTGGGCGGCGAGCCTCCACGTGGGAAAGCCGTCTCCTCCGTCTTGTCGTGGAACGGCAGGTGATTGCCGCCGGCGGCCAGGGCGCGGACATGCGACAGCTGCTTACGGAAAAAAGATACAGATATATATATATATATATACATGTATAGGCGCTAAGAGAAATGGTGTAATAATTATAATCGAGATAACGTATATGTATGTATGTATTGTACACGTCGCTCGGATTTCTCGTTTAATCGATCGATAAATCGTCCCGATTGGAAATGATAGTTCGGCCGGAGAGCAAATTGAAGCAGTTTTTCGCAATACGTCGTGATACGTATCGGTATTCGATACTTTTACGGCCGACGGTACACGGTTTATCTTTGTTTCGCTTGACCTATGACAATTACGAATTTGGAATCAAGATAGACGCGCGTTCTGCATCGCGAGATAACGCGCGAGAGGCCTTTCGTCCAAAAGTAACGTCTATTGACGATAACGTACGTACATGATATGTATTATTCGGATTTTCGATAGAGTGAGAGAGAGAGATAGATAGATACGAAGGACGTTACACAGCCGCGTGTTTACCTGTATGTACGCGTATATACGATGCGCACGTGAGCGTACAAATACGATGAATACATACGTACACATACGAGGAATTTACGATACTATACACTCGCACGCACGCACGCACGCACGCACGCACGCACGCACGCACGCACGCACGCATGCACGCACGCACACACACGTGACGCTCTTGCCGAAGTTCAAAGCCATGTAATTGCGGCGTGCTCGATTTCGGAGGCTACAGACACGCAGAAACTCTGCGGAAAAAAAAGGGTAAAATGGAAGGATGAAAAAAATCTTACGCGCCAGCTGTTGCACTTTCATTGTCACTCGTAAACACAGAAACCATCGATGCCGGTAGCAAATCAAAGCCCGAAACACGCACATACAACACTTGCGGAATTACATGGCGCTTTCAAATCCCCGTAATTGTATTGTATATCCCCCGAAGACGTTACCTCGTCTCTGTCGGTTTGGTCGGCCTGTTGCGTGAGGCCCGATACCCTGAGGACCTCCGCGGTCTTTAGAAAACTACTGAGGGAACGCTGATGTACGTTCACCTCGCCGTGATAAATAAACTCCACTAAGGCATGTAAGTCGCTGAATGCTACATCCTGGAGCACTATCACTGGGTGCTTGCACGGTGTGCTCTGAAACAGCGTGTAATCATTAGCCGGCGGTGATTGACGTTTTTTAACGCCAAAACGAGAAAGGTCTCTTACCTTGAGCAATTCTCTAAAATATGGGCTACAGGCGGAGAGAACGACGCGATGGGCTTTCAGGCTCTTGCCGTCGCAGGCCAGCGTCACGTCCACAAAGTCCTCATCGTCCCGGAGATTTTCAAACGCCGAGGTTATGCTGCTCTGGTAATTGTTCCATCGCAGACAGAAATGTTGTGTATCTACCATCGTTGTGTCTATTCACCTCTGCAATTAGAAAACGGAAAAACACACTCCTTGCTGCCGAACTGATCGGAGACTAACCGCGCGAGGAGAACTCGCGCGCGACTTTAGGATCTATCGCGGCGCTATCGTACGCTTTTGTCCGTCTTACAACGCGCGACACGCGAATGTGTGTAATTGAAATTTCGGCTACGAACCCGGCTAGTGCACATCGATAAGCTTGTAAACTGATAATTTTAGATAAGTCCAATTTCGACATTCGAAAACACAATTGCAACATGTACGCATATATATATATATATATGTTCGGACCGATATCGAATCGCAATTGCATATATTCCGCGATAAATTAGAGGTTGACTATAAAAAAAAAAAAAGGAAAAAAAAATATTGCGAGAACGCGTTGGGGAGAGAAAAGCAAGCGCGATTAGATATACGAAAAATGTATTATGTAACGCGCATTTTTAACTCGTCTATGACGTCTCGTTTTAAAAAACCCGAAAAAATTCCCCATTATAAAGTTGTATAAATAGCCTCGGATTATGAACAAGAAACAAGTTAGTTTTCAATAGCTCATTTTTCAACACGTGTAAATTTATATATTTATATATTTTAAAGAATAAAAATTCCAAATTTATAAAAATTATATAATATCGAGATTGATCGATCCTTAGTGTTAAAATTATATAAAGATTAATTGCATAAAAATACGTATGACGTGATAATACAAATGAAGATGTTTTCTGCGCAACTACAGCATAATAATATAAAAATGATGTTATGAAAAATGCATAAGATATTTATTGCGTATTTATATATTCGTCAATAACGTGTCGTCAAAATATCGCCGAAGAGACGGAAATACCTATTGCGTTGGCCAAACTTACCGCGGAATTTACGCGGAGAAAAAAAAAACCGAACGTTTTACGTCGGCCTAAATCGAGGAGGGGTTGAAAGAACGGAACGATTTAAAAGAAACGAAATCTAGGAGAAAACACAGTGCGCAAATTGCCATATGGGAAAATTAGGTCGTCGAGCCAATTCAGTACGTTGATTAAATAATTCTCCGCTACTTATAAAAGCAGGGAGCACTAAATGTACGCTCCGATAGTGTTATCTTAGCATAATGATAAAAAAAGATCTTAAAACAAATTTACAGTACGTTGTGCCGGCGCGCAACTAGGAGAAACGGGGGCCCCCATTTTTTTTAACGAAACGGCAAAAGACGGCCGATCTCGCGCAATTTTTTTTCTCTCTCTCTGCGACGCGAAATCGCGGAAACGATAACTATTCATGGCCGACGCGCGTTTTATTGCCTGAAAAATAACAAAATCTGCATAACGGACTCGGGAATCTATTTGTATACATCGAATTTATCGTATCGATAACGCGAATTTGATCGATTCGTTCCGGTCTCGCGCGTCGATTTTATTTCTTACGCAAGTTGCGTAATGGAAGGAAAAAAATTAAAACGACACGAAATCGGGAAGGAAACATTTGTTTCGCATCTTCCACTTTCTTAACCGCATACGAGATTTTTAAAGGGTCGCTTATCGCATCCTGCTAAAATTACATGTGACGAATCCGACAGATAACTTTGCCACCGAACATTGTTTGATAACAGACAAAAACGCGCGATGGCCTCTGCGTTCGTTTGCGTTGATAAAAAAAAAAGGGAAAAAATTACAACTCTCTCGGTTTACTAGTCGCTTCATTGCCGATGGGACGAATCGAACGGTATCATACTATTTACACAATTTGTACACATAGCCGGTGAATCGGGGGTGGGGATCCGAGCAGGGGAGGGGGCGCGAATAATCGCGGACGTGTGATTATGCGAGCGCGCGGGGAATTTCGGGAGGAAATTTCTGAAATTACATATGTCACGTAGTCTACTGCGGTATCGCACTCTCTCTCTCGTCGCGAGAGATAAGAGGTGAAAAAGCGGCACACGCTCGATCGATCGGATCGATCGATCGATCTCTGTAGGAATCCTTTTTCTCACGTACACACGCGCGATCGTTTTTCTAAGGCACGCTCGGCCGACAACCCGAACGCGAATCACAGTCTGCCGAGTCCGGACGCGTTATCGCCAAGGAACACCTATCGGCGCCCGTCATGCCGCGCGTAAGCTAATGACCGAAACAACGAGCACGAATTATCTTTCGTCTATTCGCGAGAAGGAAAAGGAAAAAAAAAGTCGAGCGTACAACACTTGACACACACGCACACGCGCGCACACACACATACACACACAACGCACGCACGCACTCGCGATGCGAAAAAATGATCCCGTTCGCGGTCTCGATCGAGTCCTGCTCGCGATCGAAATCCTGCGTGACACCTGCGTGATCGACGCGAGACTCGCCGGAGTGGGATCGGATCCCCTCACGTGTACGGATGTGTACACACCACGTATAATATAATAAACGTATTAACGTGTAGAAACGGAGAGAGGAGCGCGAGAGGACGACGCGTACCGGACGAGAGAGCGGTATATCGGTAAATACACTTTGAAATAAATACTAAACGATTTTGCCGTTCGTTCGTTCGTTCCTTCCTGCGCGTGGATCATCCTCCTACCCCTCTTCTCCCGCCATCGCGCGCACCAACCACCACCACCGCCCCCACGCCGCCGCCGTCGTCGTCGCCGCCCGAACTGTCGGCCACACCGAAAGTGATCGCGATCAAACGGGGACGGAGAGACGGAGACGGGCGACGAGATGGGACGAGAGAGCGAGATGGCACTTTTGCGCGCGTGTCCGACCGATCGTCACATGCCCGACTCGAGAGGGAATGAGAAACGATCGCGAAACGTCGCGACGGCTGGCGGTGATTAGACGACGACGACGACGACGACGACGACGAGAAGTCTTGTGCACTTTGACCGCATACCCGCGCGCGCGCGACCGACCGACCGACCAACCCCTAAAACGTCACGTCACGACTGTGCGACTCTCTGTTCGCGGAGAAGGCGCTTCCCTCCCGTCTCGCGAGCCCGCACGAAAATGTACGAAAAGCCGGCGATCGTCGTCGTCGTCGACGTCGACGCCGCCGACGCCGCCGTTAGCGAGGGGGCGCGATGGGGCGCCGAGGAGAGACGGAGAGGGTATATTGAATGACACGCGGAGAGAAGGAAGATTTGACGAGAAAGAGGGGGATTTTTTTTTTTTATTCCGGTTTTCGCGGTAGAGATACACCTCTCTAATCGATAATAATGTACGTTTAGAAGACGAGGATATGGGTGTATCGTATGTGTGCGCGTATCTGTCTCTGTGGGACATATGAACGGAGACGAGAAGGAAAGAAGAATAACGCGGCGAGTGTCCAATGACGAATTCTGCCGGCGACGACGACGTCGTCGTCTGCGATAAGACGATGTGTGAGCTAAATGAACCGAACACAGACGGGACGAGAGAGAGAGAGATGGATGGATAGAGAGAAACGGAGCGGCGTAATCCGTTCCTCGCGTAATGAATCGGTCAGGAATCCAGCGACTATCAAACGAGCGAAGCATCATTTCGGCCGGTTTTCAATTACATAAAATAGATATTAAAAAACGGGGAAAAGTATCGTTTTTTCATCAAATCTCTTTTTATCGCATCAAACGTATCGAGAAAAAAAGTGTGAAAGTCATCGATCGCGTGTCTAAATTGCACCGCTTTTTTCCCCTCCAGATTAATTTTTAAAAATTGAAAGCCGTGCAATCTCGATTTTGAATTCAATTTTACGCGCTGTTCGCGAATAAAAAAACCGATCAAATTCCGGCAATTAAGATAGCTGTTTAATCGCGTCCCTAATTTTCAGAAAAAAAAACGTAGAGTTACGAGCAAACTCTCGGAACAATAATTCCGATTACACCTCCGCTTTCCCTCCGACTTATCTCTAACGTAACTTTACACGCGACTCTATAGGCGAGATTTATATTACTCCACCGAAAGAATAGAAGCTTCATTTATTCGAGTGCTCTGGGATAACATCCTCTCGAGCGCGTAGACAGCACAATGCGGTAAAGATCAAACTAAGAATATGAGAATGTAAACGTTTGACAAAAGCATCTAAATGCGTGCAAAAGAGAGAGAGATGCGCTCTCGAATGCGCAGCCCTTGGGTTAATTACCTTGTGTGGGGGGTCAGAGCGAGGAAGTGACAGAGAGAAGAAGAGAGGAGAGAGCGAGAGAGTCGCTCTCACGTGCGTCGCCCCTTCTCCCGCTGACGTCGTTTCGGCGATTTCAAACCACTATAACCACCACCACCACCACCATCCTCCGGTTTCGTCTGCGGTCTCGTAGCGGTCTCCGCTTGCTTCTCCGATCCTTTTCCTCCGCCGGCTGTCACTGTGCGGCACGCGTCCCGCAGTTAAATATCATCGTTCACCGACGACGATACGCGCGCGGTACCAATTCACTCTCGACTCCTGCCCCCGTTATCGCCGTTACGTCTGAAAAGCATCCGTATTTTTTTTTCCCTTTTTTTCCTCGTACTCTTCAGAGAATCATATATTAGAGAGGAAGAGAGAGAGACGCGTCGCGCGCGCTCGGTGGTTGCATCCTATGCACATGTGCGTACGCATGCATCCACCCTCCCTTCGCGCGCGCAACTCGTGCATTCAACGTGTGCACGAGAGTCACTCTTACGGTGTACGCGCTCATGTACGTACGCGATGTTCCGTTCTCTCTCTCTTCCTTTCCGCAGGCATGCATATAATACACACGCAGACTCACTCGCGCACTCTCACGTACTCTCACGTACTCTCACGTACTCTCACTCGAGGAGTCTTCGAAGAGGAATCGTCTCATCGGCCTCGCCTCTCTTTCTCGTTTCGCAGAATAGAGGAAACGGCGCGAATGATCCGGGTACCTACCGCACCACGTGTGCCGATCCGGCGAGGTAAGAGAAGAAGAGTCGCGTCCCCCGTGGTTTTAACTACGCGTCTCCGCGATCGAGACGACAAGTTCGAGGTCGCGGATCAACGACAGTCATAATCACTCGTATCGAAAGGGAGAAAAGAGAGGAGAAAGCACGTGAGAGACAAGAGAGAGAGAGAGAGAGAGACGGGGGGGAGCGGGGACGAGCCGGAAGGAAAAAAAGAGGAAGAGTCGCGCGCGTAACGTGAACCGGCGCCGTTTACAGTGACACCACGAGCCGAACGAAGTACGGGCTGCTGTTCCCGAGCCTGGTTAGGACTAGCATGCGGGGGGAAGGCTCCCGCTCGCCCGCCGTTATTCTTTATCGGAGCATGAGACATCTGTCGTAATAAGTGCGGACTAAAAAATAGTGCGTACGCAGAGAGAGAGAGAGAGAGAGTCGGCAGCCACCGGGGCAGCTGCCATGGTGGGAGAGCTTGATGCTTGCGGCGGCTGTTTCTCTCTCTCTCTCTCTCTCCCGCCCTCTTGCTCTCTCTTCCCTCGTCTCTCTTTCTCCGCCGCCTCCACCCCGCCGTGTGTAATCAGTTCACGAGACGAAAATGCGAAACGAAAGCCCGGCCTATGAAAATGTTGACGCAACGTCTTCTCCGAAAGCGCGCTTTTTTCCCTCGAAAGTTGATCTCTCGATATATAGCCGATTTCGAAGGCGAGAAGAGAAGAGAAGAGATTGTAAAATGGTCACTGCGTGTTTCGAGCGAGATCGATAAACGAGATCCGCTCCGGCGTTTCCCCCGATAATTATGTACCCCTCGTTCGTTAACATTAACGAAGCAAAAACGCGCGCGCTCTCTCGCTCGCGCGTTCGGGTATTTATCCTTGCCGCGGCACGCGCCGTCCTGCTCCTGCTAAACTCGGTATAGTAGCACCCAGAGCTATTATCCCCTCTTTCTCTCTCTCTCTTTCTCTTTCCGCCGCGAGCCGTGCACCACCGTAGGCGACCCCACTCGATTCGCCCCTCAAAAAATCATTACGCCCTTCCACGGGCTGCGCATGAACGCGGTTTTAATTCGCTACTAGAAAAGTAAAATGTAAACGGTGGTGGGCTCGAGGGCCCGTGAAGGGGCGCGGGTGGTTGGTGGCGCGCTTTGGGAGGATGAGAAAAAGGCGGGAAGGGAGGGAGCGCTGGTATACGGGTCGACGGAGACGACGACGACTACTACTACTACTACCGCTACTGCTATACTACTACGCGGGTGGGAGACCAAGTTTCGCGGACGTGGTCGAGGACGAGGCGAGCGCGCGCGACAGATCCTTTTTCCTCCGACTGGAACGACTAGCAGGCAGAGTAAGCAGCAGGAGGAGGAATATGACGGCGCGAGGATGGGGCGATGTGGAGGGGACCGAGAGAGGAGGATATGCTGCGCCCCTACTTCTCTAGGGGTTCCATTGTAATATTTATTGATTGGATTCCTAGGAGCCCAGGCCGTGAGGGCTGTGGCACCCATGTGCTTGGACTAGATTGCGTACGGAACGCTCTCGCGACGATCTCTTCTCCTTTTTTTTTTTTTTTTTTTTTTTAACTACGCGTTTTTCCCTCTTTTTTCCCCACCTATCGACGTTTTTTTTTTCTCTTTCTCTCTACGATCCACGTGGCAGATTCGCGTAAATGCCTGTAACACATGTCCTCGCGCGCGATTGCGACAAAAAAAAAAATTGTGAAAAGCGAATCAACTACAATTCGATACGTATCGAGAGATTTGAGACCCAAGTGAAGCAATAAATAGGCGTTTCAAATGTTGCGGGTTTTTTTTTTTTTTTTTTTTTTCGAAAATCTTCCGTGTGAGAATCAACGGTTCGATGGAGGTGCGTTTGATCGATAATGGATTATATTTATGTATTTTATCACGATTGCGGCAATTATAAAATGACGGTAAAAATTGAACAATCCGGCAAAGTACAAAAATACTCAACGTTTAAAAATTTAGCTTTGACATTCATTGCAAACGTTTTTTGCAAACCAAATCGATTTACGTAAATTTTGTCGAGATATAGATTTACAGAAGAGCTATTTTGCAAGAATAATCTAGATTTGCTTTGGCCTAGAGATTATTTTGGCGTACATCAAATCGATGCGAAATTGTGTCGTTCAATAATTTAGCGACGCCCGATTATTAGCCGTGATTATCAAAGCGCACACGTACCAAGTTGCAGAGATGTGTGTGTGTGTAAATTCGTATAAAATTCAGGGTCGCGATATATTATCGTTTCTCGAGGATAGAAGCGCGAGACGTGCATAAACGTCGGCAGAAACGACGGAACTTACTTTCACTGGCCTTTCGTATATCAATCGTTTTGCATATACATAGCACGACTAGTCGAATCACGTGACGCTGCGTTTCGCTTGCAGGTTCGTGTCTGCGTCAGCGAGAAGCAGCAGGTGTCCAAAAGCAGAGGTGAGCGCACAGTGAGAAAGAGAGGCGAAACGAGGAGAGCGTGCGCGGAACTGGTAATCCTTGATCCTTACGTGACGTAATGAATCCTCTCCGAATACGGAGTTGCGTTAAATGCGGAGTATCGCGCGAGGAACCGACGAGACGCGCGCAATTGATTTTAACGAGCGGCCCGATGGATTTCGCGAAATCTCTCAAGGATGTTCTGTCCAAAGTGAATGCACGCGCGACAACTTTGGCGAACACACTTGTAAAAACAGACTATCGCGAATTTACAAATACGGCAGAGCGCGCGCGTAATCGAATTTCAACGAACAGGCCTCATGTTAAACTAATGTAGAGTTGGAATTGCATAATATTTCTTTTATTCCTCATTCGTCTTTTTAAATATTCCTTGTATTATGCTCTTTGTAAACACGTGGATCGTAGCAGTAGAATTTGCGAGAATTGATCATTAAACAAACATTGGTTCGCACACGAGAGAGAGAGAGAGAATAAAGAGACTCGATCGATAAATTTTTTTTCACTATTTTATTTCTGTATAAAAATTCAAATCCATCCTCCACACATGCATACGTCAACTGCGACCGCTGCGATTGTATCGGAAAGAGAGAAGCTTTGTAACGCGTCCGGATGGATGCTTGAATTGCAACCAGAAGCGTCCGACGCGAACACCATGTAATCATCCGAACCGACCTTTTTTGCACACCCTATATTCTTCGTACGCACGGACGCATCGTTCGTCCACTTGCTGCCCCTGTTTACTATTACACCGATGTATAAAACATCGCACCGTCTATTTGGGTTATTTCAGCGGAAAGATGAGATTTGCAAATTAAATTTTCCGCAAGAATCGCGTAGATGCATTTTTATATAAAATTACCTTTATCGATCAAAATTGAGCATCTAAAATTATAATACGTCACGCAAGCAAAAAGTGACGTATTATTGGAATAGTGTTAGCAACAGCAACACATATGTGTCATTCTATATACGTATCTCAATTAGAATGTAGAAACTATTTTTGTATAATATGGCCTCCTTTCTTGCTTAAAATTGTCTAAATAATGCTTCAATCTGATAATTTTATCTTAAAACGCAAAAGTTGTACATTTAATTTTTTAGAAGAAACGAAAAAGAATAGGAATAGATACAGCGGAGAAAATTTTGACTCCGAAATGATCAATTTTTAATCGTCCATCGCCGTCGAGACGTCATCATTGCCTATTTCCTAGATTAGTTATCGGTACAAAAATACGAAGGAAAAAAGAAATCTATTCGCCGAAAATTGTGCAACGTCGTTTAATGGGCAGCGGCAGATCGCACTAACGAGCGGGACGTACCGAGTAGCACGAAGCACCGAAAATTGCTCCCTCCCCTTTAGTGGCCTGGAAACGTCGTTAGCGCTACGCACCTGCCGTTAAAGTGCCGTCGAGGCTCGGCAGGTTTTCCGGGATTCGCGGAGACGAATCGACGACGTATACGCGACGATAAATCGCCCTGTTTAGGGAAGCCGCGACGCGGCTTATAGAGTCCCAAATGCACTTTGCACACGCGAACAAAAGGCGGAGGTGAGGGCAGCATACGTTTGATCGCTCGTACCCTATTCTATCCTTCTCTTCCTTCCTTTCTTTCTCTTCTCTTTTTCCGTCCCCTCCGTGCGAGCCCTTTCCTCCTTCCCCTGCACTCGCAAACATTTGGTGGCCGTTGACCTCGAGCGGGCTAATCCGTCGACAGCCAAACAACCAATTATTTCTCTTCAACCAGTACGCTTCGCCATAGCCGGCCGACATAGCGCTAAACGTGGGAATATCCAAAGTACCGACGAATCAGGTGGAAACAAAAACTTTGACCGATTGTATCAACCCATTGAAGACAAGCGCGTAGAGCCAACTTTCGGTCACGTCAAGCCTCTTTCTTTCTCTCGTTTATCTCACGAGCGAGGATATAATTTGAAAGAGAACGACGAATCCCACGCTAGACCAACTTAACTGTCCGAATTCGGTTCCTTGGAAATCATTTCTGTCGGCACGATTTTTGAAAGGAAGAAATTCTTGTCGCTTTTTTTTTTGTCCAAGATAGTTTTCAATATGCTCGCTCGGTGATGTCTTACAATTTAAGAATGAAACAAACGGTCTACGAATATCCGAGTGGTCGAAAAAATATCGTCTGTGACAACACAATAGAATCGACTTTACGTCGCGAGTCTAACTTCCATTTCACGCGCACTCGATTTCAAGTATAATAGAAGAAGGGCTCGCGTCGAGAAAACCTTTCGCCGTCCGGCCAATACTAGATACGCACTACTTACTAGTGCCGTGCACGCTGCCTCGCGTCTATTCTTACGCTATCCTGTACTACTGCGGATCTAAACCGGCCGTTCCGATCGGACATTGCGAGATCAGCGTAAGAGCGATTAGTTTGGTTCTTCAAATTATGGACAAATTGGTTTTACCTTTCTCTCGTATATTTTTTTCTATACACTGAAACTCGCAACGTGGGAATTGAATCGATTTCGGTAAACTAATAAGACGTCCGTAAAATTAAAACCCACCTGGTCGTAAAATATTTTTATGCTTTACAATAATTTAAAATTTAGAGATGTGTAATTGTTGATGAAAAAATATGCGATATGTAAATTACTTTATAGCAAATTAAATGTCAAATTTTTTTGTCAACTGCCATGGTTTTTTTTATATAATCAAAATGGCAAAATTGGTTGGCGGCAAAATTTGGCTATATCGACACGATTCATGCGGGGTTATCGCGCGGTGAGGTGATTTGAATGCAGGGTAGCAGTTACGTTGTTACCGCGAATGCATTTTGCACCTAACGTTCCTCCGATAGGGTAAACGCGTGCGCGAGAGAAAATTTCAACACGGAATCTCCATCGTGTGTAAAAAGAGGATATAGATAAAAAAAAAAATTCTCATCGCTACTATATATTATATATTCGCTTGAAGTATATCGTGCGAGACAATCGAAATTGACCGGCAAAAATTTATGTACGAAATCATCGATCATGAAAAAATCGTGTTTCCGTTCGTCCGACCTGCTTTTCGCCGCGATTAATTGAGGCGCGATGATCCACACGAATATTTCCGTCGGCGCTTAAAAATACTGAAAACAGGTCAGCAGTCTATATTTTAAATTGTAGCGCAGACACAGTCGGGTTTGCATCACGAGTGTATGCGAATACATACATACGTATATGTTTACAACGCGCGGTTTAAAAAACGCGGCGGCGGATCGTAGTGAAAAATTGAGGATGCCCCGCTGGCATTTTTTTTTCAACGCGCTGGCACTTTCGCCGCGCGATCGCGCGTTGTCGCTTTTCTTTGTATCTCTCTCCGTTTCGCGGCCAGATGTATAATTTGGTTTTGCGAAACTAGACGCACCTGTAGCGATTCATTCACGCACTTGCGAGCATATGTACATCTCGCGGCTGTGGATACGCGCAAAAAAAGCCGATTACGAGATTATTTAAAAATTCGCACTCGCACTTATATGAGCGAAAATTAAAACGGAATTCTAGAGAACGAGAAAGGAAAAAATATTTTTTTATATGTGTATACGTAGGTGTTATAATAATATCTCTCTATATATCCTTCAAATTTTGCGTTTGAACAATTTTTGAAATAGGTCAAAGGTCAATCGCGCCAAATGAAATCGGATTAAAAAAAATTATTCTGTGAAATAGTATTTTTATCCAAATACATATTCCGAAGGACTTTTCACCGTGTAAAAGTGAAACTATCGACAAAAATATAGAATCATAATTTGCTTTGGCACACTTATTTTCGTACGATTGCATTAATTTCCGATAAACGGAAAAAAATGGCGCGATACGTCGTAGAATCGCAAAAAGAGAAGCGAGATAAACTCATAATTATTCGATACATCCGCTTTCATGCAGTCTCGTTGAAAATATTATTTAAACGTCCACATTTCTCCACCGAATGGCGAGACCTTTGCATTTAAATGCAGAATTCTACATAGACGATACGACCTTGGGCACGAGTCTTTGATGCGACGCGCGCGAGCGCTCCGCGATATCGAAAAACAAAGATCGATACCTTTGATAGAGAAATTCAATCCCTCCCTTGGCGGTGATATATAAAAAAAAAAAAAAAAAAAAAAAATATATATATATATATATATAGAAGGAAACGGGGACTTGACCGCGAGTTGCAGAAAGGGGCCGTGACTTTTTTTTCTTCACAACAGCCTATTTCTGGTGGCGGCCGCCTAATTCATACGCCCGGGACACTAGCGACGCGATATACGCACACAAGCGCGCATGCACATTTTTTCGCTCGCGCGAGTGTGGGCGTGCGCGCGTGTGCACATGCGCGTATAAAATGCACGAAACAAAGAGCCGAAGGAAGGAACCGCGCTTACACCCGCTTCCCCTCGCGCTCGTTCGCATAAATACACCCGGCCCCCCCCGTTTTATGCCGCCGCGTCGTTGACTACTCCGTCGATTCTCGGATATGATTCGTCACGATCAGCTGACGTGCGCATTTCAAGTGGCTTAAATAAAGTGACGCTCTCTTTCTCGCCGCTTTCACAATAGGCGCCGCATTGTGTGTGTCCACATTTTGACCTTCCTGCACGTCTATACAAATGCGAGCTGCAACGTGTCCTCGCTTCATGTGCCGTCGCGCCTACTTATTATTTATTTATTTTTTTTCCGCATCTTCTTTTTACGCTCGCGCAGCTTTTGCAGAAATAAAGAAGAAACGACGTCGTCGCTGGAATAAGGCTATCGCTGGCGAGATAATTTTGATAATTTGACAACTATATTATTATCGAGCCGCGACTCCGTTGTAATTGAAATGTTCAGTTTTTGAAATTGAGCAACGAAGGAAACACAAAGACAGTAATTCGTTTCAAATTATCGTGTAAAATAATTAGAACATTTAATTATCGCGAAATCGAATCTTTGCAAGAACGAAACGACGACGAGAATTGATACCGCGATATCGCTTTCCGGGAAGGATTAATACTTAATTTATTCATAGATTATTTCTGCGAAAGGTAATTGAGCTCTTTTGTGGTAGAGTGAAAAAACGTATCAGAGTTAAGAAGAGCGCTCCTTTTTTATGTCTATCAATCTTAATTTTCGTCGTGCGCGCTTATTAAAAAAAACAAAAAAAACCGTACGCAGGAGTCGGATTGGTTGAATCTACGACCTTCCTCATCTCAAGGTACGCGCGGAATCAACCGGTGCGAATTTCAACGCGCGGCATGCAAAACGTACGTACAGGTCGCCCCTCAGCACCTGAAAATTTACGCGCAGTATATACACACATATATATATATATATGTACAATTCAATCGGGCGTCTTGTATCGGTGAATAGCGCGCGCGCGCGGAATTTATTCGATTGACTCGCGCGCGTTCGACCAGGTCGGTGAATGAATTCGCTTTGTTAATTTTATCGAGCTCTCCCGTTTCTCTCTCTCTCCCGACAACATCGATCGCTTATCGATCGCTTATCGATCGCGGAGATGTTTCCCGCGAGCGCGCGTTCAGGAAACATTTAAATTTAATATAGGATGATATCACGCGAGATAGAAGCGTATTCGCGCTTTAGAATATCATCCATCTACTAAAAAAATGCAATTTCTCTCTCTCTCTTCTTTGCAGAGATAAAATAATAAAGATAAAACGATAATTTGACAATGACAGAAATCAGCTGATTGACGTGTGTGGAAAGCAGGCGAAAATATATTGGTTACCTTGGCAGGAGGATAAAAAGCGATCCGGTACGAAAAATACGCGATAGCGTCGTAGCATCGTTATTACTGACTGACGCGTCAGTGAGTTCAGTCTGAACGGAGGTTTTCCAAGCGAGACGCGTACAGTTCGCCGCGCCTAAATAACGCGCGTTCCGCCTGCTCCGGGGTCTAATTTCGCAGATAAGGCCGGCGCGGCGGTCGTCGCGCGCGCGAGAGAGAGAGACGTAATCTAGTTACTAGGCGTACAATCTAATCGACCGATTCGTATTATGTGTATGCATACCTGCACGTACAAACTACACTTCTATTTCGTAGAATATATCTCGCATTCTAGCCCGCGCGATAAAGTTAGTTTGTCTTTAATGTTAAAGAGAAGCTGACGCGCGCGCGCGCGCGCGCGCGTTACGCAACCGGTCTCATCTCGCAGCATTAATTCGACTACTTTCTGTTTCGCCGATAGTATAGTAGATTCTGCGAAATATCACGTATGACGATAAATCAAAACATTGTCTCCTCTTTTTCACAATTCAAATCGATATATGTATTAATTCCTAGAGAGATTTGCGTCTCGGAAATAAAAAGCAGATACAGGTCCTCGCGCGCAATCGTTTTACGGCGTCCAATAATTCTCAGAGCGAAGAATCTGGAAGTGAAGGGCCGCGGGAAGGGAGAGCAAAGAAGAACGGGTGGAATAACGGGTGAGATTCAGCGTCCGTTATGGTTCAAGGAGAACACACCGTTATCGGATACATATCCCTTTTCTCGGCTCGCATGCAGGTGCTTCCGAGAAAATTAAACCGGCCATCGCGTCGATCTCTAATTTGCTTGGTCGTATTAATGCTACCGGGCAAATATGCTCGAGCTAATTACTTAAGAAATTAATAGTCAATAAGGATCGACGGTCATTTCTGTGTGATAATTGGGATTCTTGTTCTCGTTTTAATCGCGCCATTCTTAAATTCGCGCCATTCGCTCGTGGAAAAAGAAGGCGATCTTCATCGATCGTCTATTTAAAATAGACGATAAAAAATATCGGTACGCATACACGTGTCGAGAGTGGAATCTCGTTGAAAAGTTTCGAGACACAGTGCTCGATTTAAAAAAAAATGTATATAAATATTATTCATAGAAATAGCTGTAAAAAATTGAAAAAGAAAAACTACATATATATATACACACACACACACACGGGTGAGAAGATACGATCGCGGGATTATTGTCATCGGATTAAAATCGAGCTGTTTCCTCGGGATTAAAATCGATAGGTATCATTGAAACGTTAGAATAACGAGTAACGAATAATCGTGGGAACGATATATCGATTCCCCCGTGCGAGAGACATCGCTCGACAAAAGAGATTAGGCGCGAGCTTTGTCCGAGGCTCAGTCCTTGAGAGAAGAATCGCCTCTGCACCGAGAGAGGAAGTTTCGTTGCCACGTATATATACGCCGCACGACTCGTGCATACGTAGCGAATGCACGAGGCGGCTAAATTTTTTCAGGAACGCATCGTCATCGAGGCGCTTCTTATTTTTTACCAGAGCTCCCGCCGCGCGCCTTGTCCCCCTTCTCTCTCTCTCTCTTTGACGTTTCTTCGATGTGTCTGTACGAGATCTATTTATACCTAGGTCCGCGCAGTTTTCTCCAACTCGCTGCACGTTCGCGCAGCAACAAACCGCGTCGCTCGTAAAAATAGGGAACGACGGACGGGCGTGCGATTTGAAGAAAACGATCGCATCGCAGGTGCAAGCGAAATATCATCCCGAGCGGGAGAATTCCTAATCTAGACGAATCGATATCGCGTGACTCGCCACGTGGTCCCTCTAACGTCTCGTGTGCATCCGCGTGAAAAAAAAAAAAAAAAAAAATTCATTCTCGCGCGCGAAACATGGCACGCCATGTGCCAAAACTCGCAGGTATTAAAATCCTACTAAAAAAAACCCCCGTAATCGCCCGCAGTCAGTGAACGGGAAAAAAGGAGAACAAATAAAACGTTGCGCGCCGCGGCAACGTGACGAAGTTGGGTATGGGAAAAAAATAGAGCGAGAGAGAATAGCGAAAAAGGTAAAAAAAATAAAAAAGCGATTACTCCCACGCGAGAGAGAGAGAGAGCTCCGCGCGCCAGACGAGGCGTGGTACGGCGTGGAAAACGAGAGTGAACCGCGTAGAATCGAGCGCGTACGCGCGACGACCGTGGCACGGTCTCGGAGCGGCGGCGGCACGAGGGACAGACAAACGAGGTTCGCGCGCCTCTCGCGGCTCGCGAGCGACAAGGATTACGTCAGGCGCTCTCTAACGTCTGGCATTATCCTCGTCTAGCGCGAGTCTAGCCGCGAACGGTACTAACGCCGCCGCCATAGTCGCCGTCGACGCCGTCACCTTTGCCGTCTGGCATACATATAGGCAAGGGCATACGAGACACGTCATCACGCGTGTATTATATACGTGGGGGATTCATGAAAGGATGGACACACGCACGTACTTTCATCTACTAGCTCTTAACCGCGCGCGCTAACTAGGTGTTCGACAAGTATACGTGTGTGCGTGTGCGGCTGTCTACGTGTCGGTGCTCATTTACAAACGCTCCTTTATACTCGTATGCACGCAACGTCTCCACATACGTATATTTTGCATGCACGCGTTATATACCGCTATACGCGACAGATACATGCAAACGCGTTCGTCCCCTCTCTCACCCTTGCGCGTTGTCTCTATCCTTCTCTTATTCTCTCCCCTACCCTCCGACCGCCCTCTTTAAGTAACCCCCCCTCCCCTGCCGTTCAAACTTTTTCTCTCTTTGTTTTTCTCTCTTTCGTTCGCTCCCTACCTCTTTCTATTTCGTTCGTCCCCTCTCTCTCGTCTTCCCCAAACTTCTTCCTCCGTCTCTAGCGATCGCGTACACCGTGGAAGCCGAAGGCCACCGGTCTCAGCTGTGGACGTACCTCGATCGTCGAGCGAGAAGCGAAGCGTGGACCTCCTTTGGCCTTGTCGTCGCGATGCCTAGGCCCCCGTGGTTATCTACTATTATTCCGATGCGACGCGATCGCGTCGAGAACCTTTGCTCCGACTTCCGCTCTTTCTTCTATTTTTTTTGCCAAACTATTTCGCAGAGAGAGAGAGAGAGAGAGAGACGCACGACGCGTCACTCCTCCTTTTTTGTTTTTTACGTCCGATTTCAACCGTAACGAGTCGCGAAAAGGAAACGGAACGTACAACGACAGGCGGATGATTCTTTCTCGCGAGTAGAATGAAAAACAATAAAAACTCTCGTCACTCTCTTCGATTTTCGTTCGAACGGCGCTTCTCTTAATTATATACGTATATAACGTTTAGCTCTCACTCACACTGTGCTTCCTCTTCTACGAGGTGTCTCCCTTTCCCTCTTGCGGAACTCGCCGCGTAACTGGATCACCGTAACGACGCGTACTCGCGATCCCGTAGGTACACGCATGGACACTTTGACTCGTCTCGTCCTCCCTCGGTCCTGTTGTCCTCCCGTCGAGGGTTACGAATCGACGCACTTCCCGTGCGAGAGGGATGGACGCGCGAATAAATCCGCGACGGCAAAGAATAACGGAGAAAAGAAAGCGAAATAAAAAAAAAAAACGAACGGGGAGAAGAGAGAGGCGGAAAATGAATTTTCCACGTTGTATATTACGCGCGTAACACGTGTCGCGACGTGTCCGCGAGTCTTGGAACGTCCTGCGTGTATTATCTTGCGCGCGTCGAAGGACCCACAGCTGCTCCTCGCCGCTTCTTTTGGGACACACACCGGGGGACTACCTAGTCGTAGAGTGATTGGGAACGCGACTGGCCAAAGCACTTGATTCGCGCGCGGTTCGGTTTGCTGCCCGTTGCTGCGCCTCTCCCGTGCAGTTTTTTCGGCAGTCCTGTGGTATGCGTGCGCGCCCGCCGTGCATGTGTGTGTGTGTGCGCGCTCCTCTTTCTTTATCTCTTTCTCGCTCGCCCTCTCTTCTTTTTCTCTCTCTCTCTCTATCCGTACGGACACGGCTCTTTTTCGCCTTCCCTCCTCGCCGGTCTTCCTATATCCCTCTCTCGCTTCCCTCGTTTTTAACGCGAGCGTGTGCCGCCCGCTCGCAGCAGACACACAAGCGAGTGTGTGTGTGTGCGTGCCGGGGGCCCGTAATGTTGCACGAAAAAGAGAGGGAGCGAGCGAACGAGTGTGTATATATGCACCAAAGTATATATATATATATTTATGTATATATATATACGTGTACCACCGTCGTCGTCGTCGTCGTCGTCGTCGCCGTCGTCGTCGTCGTGCGTGCGCGTCCCGGGTAGGCGAGGGTATAGTTACCGAAATGTTAACCTCGTGGAACCACTTTTTATCGAGTGTCGCAAAATTCATAGGAACCTCGCGACGCGAGGAGAGGGGGTTAACCCGGCCCCCGCTCCTCTCCCGGTACCACGTTGGCGGGGCCGAAGCCGCGAGAGGGGCGGCAACCCCTTACCCCCCCTCCCTATCCTACCCCCCTGTATTACGGGAGCCCCCGCGGCATCCCTCCGCGCGTATAACCAGACGCGCGCTCCCTCCTTCGGTGCCTCCGTCGCTTCCTTCTCCCGTCCTCATCTTCGTTTCCCGCCCCTCCCCGCGAGGCCCCTCTGGTCCTCGCCAATTCTTCGGCCCCCCCCCCCAACCATTTCCCTCGCGCTAGCGCGCGTCTTCGTCTTTTTCTCTCTTCTCTTCCTTTTCCTATCCACCCTTCGCTTTGCGCCCTTTCGGCCTCTTCTCTCGAAACGCGAAGTAAAGAAGTCTCCTCTATCGCAGGACGACTCTTCTCCTCTCGCGCTAGCGTTTGACATCGCCGACACTCTGCCTTCCTCCCCCTCCCCGCCCGCGTTATTGCCACCCTGTCCGGTATTTAGCCTCTCCTCGTAAGCAAACTTCGACGTGTGCGCTTAGTCGCGTGTGCGATTTTTTCGAAAAGACGGACCAGAATTTTTCAATCATCAATTCAAGGGTGGATTCGTAGCAAAAACGTTGAGAAGTCAATAATTTTTGAGTTATAGGCGATTGAAAAAAATGGGTTTTTTAAAAACTAAATTTCAGGTAGAGTTTACCGTAATAAAATTTTAATTCGAGGCTTAGTTATAAAGATACGTAATGACAAATATTGGAAAGTTGGAAAAAATGATGACATTTTTCGACATTTTCGCCGAGAAAAATCGTTCCCAAAGAAATACATTTGTGATCCGTTAGTTACCGGACACCCTGTATATAGTGTACGATTGTAAGAAACAAATTTATATCTCGCTCTTGAAGAGTCGTAATTTGCATCGCGAACGTTCTTTTTTTAATCTGAAAATGAAATTAATTCGTTTCTAAATCGAAGAAGAAATCGACGAGAGAATGGAAAAAAATTATTATACATACCTACACTTATATTTATAGTCGGCGAAAGGAAAAACATTTCGGATAGGTCGGACGAGTCTTATATATATATATATATTTTTTTTTTTCGACTTTTCTCTCGCGGATCGACGGATTATCGGTCGTATTAATCTGTAAACGGAATATGTTTGAAATGTCACTTGTAATTCCGCGATGCATCTGTGTCAATACCCTGCAAGGTGTTTTCCCTTTCGACCGTGTCCGAACGTATCTTGAAATTCTTCGGTCGTTTAATCGAGCAGACCGCGCTAGATAACGAGACGATGATTTTTAGGACGCTACG